TTTTTTAAAAATGTCATAAAATAAGAACATAACAAAAAGCTAAAGAAGTAACTGAGGTCTGTTGTAGAGTAGGACTAACAAGTAATTTTACTCACCACATTACGTGTCATTTTGCAGAGAAATATAAGAACAAGTAAGAAAGATGACCTAATATCCCTCTATTGGATGCAAGGGACCTCAGCACGCTCAGCCCAATAAAGCATGACAAGGATGAGAGATTAAAAGGCTATGTTTTAATCAGTAAGTTTGATTATGGCAAAAATGTAATCTACCAGAAACACATGGGGGAGCTCCCTTTTATACTCTGGATGACCAGGTAGCAAAGACAATTGCTTAATGGGTTGAAATTCCCAGTGGAACTCCTGATTAGCACATTTCAGTCCATGTGGTCTCCACATGCACATGAAAGGCTGGGTCACCTTAGAACTGTGATTTAAGTTTTTTAGGTTGGTGATTCTCTGTTGTGTAGCTGTTGGGGGTTCTCTAATATGGTGTTGGTGCTTGGGATATGACTAGCTGGCCCATGCCTAACTCCAGCCAGCCAAGTATGTCCTACACCTCCCTCCCAGAAGGAAGGAGGATGAACAATTGATTCCTGAGGATGCAGTAGAAGAGTATTTTGCTAAAACAAAAAGAAAAAGAAAACCAAACCTCCTACAGCTTGGCTGACATGTGAGGATCAGAAGGTAAAGCTTTCCCCATCATGGAAATAGATATGATCACCTGAGAATTGCTGCAGATCAAACTGCTGCTACCGCCCAGCATGGCCCAGTTCAAGAGTTGGCAGTCCAAAGTACAACACTCTTATTATCCAAGTCATAACTGATGTGTTGAAGGCGGAGGTATCAGCAGGAACAATACGTAAACATCTCTTGCATTATGCAGAAGCCAGAAACAGTGGCGGGGTCTGGGGCGGGGGGGAGAAGAGGACTTTTTCCATAAGATAGCTAATTTTCAATAAATAGCGCTGCTCGCTGTTTCCAGGGAAGGATCATGCTATAAGATCTTCTTCATCCCATCCTCACTTAGAAACCACAGACCAGTTGTAGTTCCAACCTGTATCAGAACTGCAGCCACCATCAGTACTAGCCAGCATGGCTATTAACTACAGTCCAACACACCTGGAGGGCACTAGTCAGGTTGGACAACCCAAGTCATCCGGCTCGTATCAGTCCAGCTCCTACAGCTTCCAACTTGGTTCTGCTTGCCTACTGCACAACGTGCTGTCCCAGTGGGCCAGTTTACACCATCACTGGAGCCCAGCGTAGTTTACATTGAAGCCATGGAAGTGGCAGGGCATGGTGGTGGTCCTTTTGACTATTCAACCCCTGGGGTTGCCATGGCTCATTGCATCATCCAAACCTGAGCTCCAGGGGTTGTTTGAGAGAGACAACAGTTATTGGAGGGTTGCTTAATCCTCAGTCTCTGCCACCTAGGTTCAGATGGCACAACAAACTATGACAACCCACCACTGGAGAGTAAATATTTGAAATGGCCACTGGCACATGTTGCAACTCGCTGGCCTGGTCTGGATGATCACTGGGACAAAAGCCATGGTGGCTGCTTTTCTCCGCTCTCTATATGCCAGCCCTGTGCCATGTCATTTCCCTAACCACCCTCACAGGTAATTATGTGGCTTTCCATATCATCTGTACCTGGTAAGGTGTTTAGATGGGTTGGCTCCAAAGCTACCCTTTGCTTGGCTTCAATGGCATGAGAAACCATGTGCCGAGAGGAAAATTATGGAACTCACATGAGGCACAATCAACACACGGGGTGGGGAAAAGAAGCCACTGTGGCTTCTTTCTCTTCATGGTCATTGAAATCAGTCCCTCTGTCTCAAATAAGTGATTGTGGGCTGTAGTGACTGTTTGATCCTGGACACTGTACCTTCCTCCTGATTTAACCCGGATATGCAAGAGCATTCTTACTCCCTCTACCTAATTTAAATTCTGGAGGATTTGCATAGGTCATAACCCATGGCTTTTCAGTCTGTTTATTTAAGCTAATACATTGTCAAGCATTAGATCACAGTATCTCAGCTACTTTAAGTAATTGAGACATTTGGATTGGATCCTAAAAGCTAGACTATGTATTAACTGAATTCAAATAAATAAAAAAATAAATCCAAGGGCTACGAATTGGTCAAGTATATTGACTGCACCCTGTAAAAATGTTTTTTTATACGTAAGTTAAATATTAATTACATGCTCACTTATTATTTGTCTGTCTGATAAGATTAGATGTGTGATCATCTCCCCACCTTAAACTATTTTGATCATTGCCAGTATATCATTTCATTCAGTCCAGTGGCCAGGGCTCTTGCTGAAACAATCCTGTAGTCTTGATTTAGTAATGAGACAGATCTATACTGTTCAATCTTCAGAGGATGTTTGCATTCTTCATGTATCATTTTTTAATTCATTACAGAAATAAAGATGTTTTTCACTGTCTGATTACATTATACCATAACATTTAAACTGAGCTGTCCTTTTATATGTTATATAATTCTCAGTACAAGCTATCAAACCCTGGCAGGCCTTCATGCAAAAGTTCTGCTATTAAGGGGTTAGTCCTATACATATTTATATGGAAGTCCTACAGCTTCCATCTGGGAAAAATGCTAGGCATCTTCAGAGTTATTTCTGCCTAAACATGCATAGGACCCTCAAGATCACCCTCAATAATCAATTATTATTTTTCATCTATGGTAAAAATGTTAAAAATCACCTAATGTAACTAATGTATTAGGAGGTTCAGTTGAGCTAATGCTTTGTACAAGTAAGTGTTGTACAATCCTTTAATCATTAAAGTTTAATGTGTTTGGTTCACAAAAGAAACCGGACCAGAACCAACTTTTCATTGCATAATTCTGTACCACAGTGCTCCTGGACACACCCCTTTGGCACCCACCAAGAACCCTACCCCTTTCAATTATTCTTATTATTTTACTTATATGATTATTTTTATCTTGGGTAGCTGGAAAGCCGCAAAGCTCCAACTACCCCGATTTCCTGATTTTTCTTGCCCAGAATGCTTCTGGGTCTCATGTAGGCTCAGAGTGTTCTTGTTTGGAAGCCCTAGTTCTGTCACTTGCCAGAGAATATAGACGGAAAGTTGGTTAGGGCGAGCTTGAGGTCCTGGGGGGAGCAGCAGGAAATGACTTGGAGGGCAGAGAAACTGCGGCTGGGAGGTTAGGAGAGACATTGGCGGGGTGCCTGTGCACATCGCACGATGGATGAATAGAACACATGATTGTAACTCTGTGAACAGATGTGTGCATACAAACTGACAGGGAGGCATCCCAGGGCGGAGGGAGGCACAACCATACCTTAGATTAATTGAGCCCCAAGCTGGAAGCAGTTTAACAGCCAAGATAATAACACCTATTTTCCAGAGAGAGAAAACTCCTAAAATATTCAAAATGGAAGTTGCCAACATTATTTAAACAAATAAGTGATACCAAGCAAGCAAAACAAAAACCCAAAGGTACCCTAAAGATACACCCATAGTCAAAGAACAGACCCCAGAGGTTTCTTTTATATGAGTAACAAAAGCCATTCTGCAAATGAGTAAATTTCTGGCCAGTTTTGCACATTTCATTATTCGATAGTTATTACAGACATTCAATCTTGAAGAAGTCTTGTGGCACCTTAAACACGACTGGAAACTCAAAATGCCAATGAGATGCCAGGCTTAAAAAAGGATATAGGGTCTTTCTATGTCCAAATATTGAAACAACTGAAAAAGAAGGCAGCAGGTGATGTGACCTATTCACAACAGCCTCCGCAGCAGGGAACACTATATTTCTGGCTGTGCTAATTTACTTCCCTTCCCCAAAAATCGACAGCTCTAATTAAGGCCAAGTTGAATGGGATGTGCTGATTACTTCGAGTTCAGCAAGCTCTTGCTCGCGCCCCTCTTTGAAGGCTTTCAGCTGAAGAACGGGGACTCAGAGGTCATTAGCAGGGACTGAACGGCTCCTCTCCCATCCCACCGTCTCCCCGAAAGGAGCTCAGGCGACTGGCGGCAGTCCGCAGGGGGGCTCCTGAGCGGGCTCCACGGAGGGCGATGGGGGAGGAGCCTGCGCAGCGTCGAAACGCAGCAAGGGCAAAGGCGTGACCTGCTCTCGGGATTGCAGGAAGTAGAAAACCAACAATAGAAGGTTGCTCAGGATCTTCGGCCGCTGGCCACGCCCATTTCGAACCTGGCGGCCGTCACGGCGGCGTAGGTCACGTGCTTATGTAGCAACATTCTGTGTCTCGCCTTCTGCCACCCTCCGCTGAGCCGGAGTGGACATGGCAGCCGGTGCCCACCTTCAGCGCTTACGTGCCTGGAGGGTGATTAGATGCGTTAGTGTTGTGCACGTTCCGAGTGCGCTCGATTTCTGAGAAATCAATACCTCCTGAAGAGGCCCCTGCTCAGACCGTGTGGGGTGGCCGGCGAGGGGGGAGGAAGATTTTGCAGCGATTTCGAATATATGTGTAATGTTCCCTGGCAGCATTAGCTAAGTATGTATGTGTGCATGTGGGCGAGCTCCGATGCCTAATGCGTGTCCGGCCTTGGTATGCGGGCTTGGACGGAAGCGCTTCAAAGATGATTGTTTATTTCTGCACGCCTCTAGGCAGTCCCACGCCCAAACCCTTAACTTCTGTTTGCCGAGCACGGTCCTCGTAGGGAGTAGCGCCGATTCGCAGCGGTATATCATCATCTCCCGCACGCTCTCTGTGGTCACTGCGCAGTCTTCGCTCCGTGGCGTATCCATGCAGGGGGGAGCCGAGCGGTTCTGCAGGCGGGGAGAGCAGCTCCGATTAACCTCGCATTTACGGTTGGGGGCGTCGGTTTGCAATCTGATCCTTCCAGGAGCTTGATTGCAGTAAGCCGGCTGGGAGACAGCGCTGCTGTTGCAGCCTGCTGGTGGTGTCGGTGGTGATGAAGTTGGGCGGGCCCAGCCGCCGCGGGTGCTGCTGATGCTCTCTGAGGTCACCGTTCCACTCGTCCCCGCGTCCCTCGCCAATCGTGCCTCTCGTTCTAGACTTGCAAAGGGGCTGCCCAGGGCTGGAGGGTCCCGGCGGGCATGCCGCCGCTGTCCTCGCTGCATCTTTTTAGCTGTAGCCGAGGCGTCGCTAGCTCCTACCTCCTGGGCTGGGCAGGACGCTTAAGGCGCATCGGGGCTTTGGAGCATCCGCCCGGGGACTCTGCATGATTTAAAAGAAAAATCCGAATCGATTGCCGTCGGACTGCCTTTGTCTTGGCCGGGAATATGTGGGTCAACCCGGAGGAAGTGCTGCTGGCAAACGCCCTGTGGATCACGGAGAGGGCCAATCCTTACTTCATCCTGCAGAGAAGAAAAGGGCACGGAGGAGATGGAGGCAGCGGAGGGATCGCTGGTAAGAAAATGAAGAGGAGACGCTCCTCTTTGCGGAAACGGCAGGATCTCTGTTTTGCCGCCGCGGTGTGTGTGCGTGCGTGTGTGTTTACATGTGTACTCAACATCCAGTATCTTGGTGCAGGGGCTGCATTTTGCAACAGGTATTTTCATTTCGCAGTGGAATACCTTGCAGATTTATGATTTGTGCGCTTGGTGAACTGAAGAGTAAATTCGGAGTGCTGGTCTTCCTCCATGCAGTGTTTTGTAATTCATCACCAGCAGCTTGCTTAGGCTGTAGATTCATATCAGTTCTCTCATACCTGCATACCAGTGATAACGTTTTTGAGATAGGACCCTTATCTATTTCCTTGTGTGGAAGGAGCATCCCAAGAAATGGGAGTTCTGTGAAAATGCCCAGAAATCACTGGGATGGTAATTCCAGTGACAGGGAGGAATCATACACAGAGAACTCGAAGCTGCATCCTTGCATGCTTTCTTGGAAGTAAGCCCTTATGAGTGGTATTCTCAAGTGACTGCTTCCCAGTTACTTTAATCCTTTTCTGATTTATCCTGAAATTGTCTGTGAAGGTTCGTCTTTCATCATTACTGCAGATATGCTGTATCAGGAATGAATTGTAGTAACTTGCCTCTGGTCCCAGAGTGAGTTTGGATCTTATCAGGAATACATATCTCTCATGTACAATTATTTATTTACTGGAGCCCACTTCTTTTATTTCACACAAGACACAATCGATCCTGAGCCAGCTGGCTCATAAGAGCTAGAAATGGTGTAAGGCACATCTGACTCTACAGCCTGCAGAACAGCAAGACTTAAGTGATGTAGTGGGGACCTTTCACACTATTCACTGTTTTGGTGGATCAGATGCACGTCTACACCTGACCTGGTTTAGAGGCAGCTGTCTAGTCCAGCAGTCCCCAACCAGGTGCCCCCAGAATTATGGGAGCTACAGGAACATACAAAGCTGCCTTTACTGTATCAGGCCATTGATTTGCCTATCACAGAGTTGTTAATACTGACTGGCAGTAGCTCTTCAGGATTTCATGTGTTTAAGTTTGCCTGCCTTACTTCAATATGCTGGGAATCAAAGCAGGAACTAATACTGCTGCGCTGCAGCCCATCTCAACACATCTGTAGGCTTCCAGGTTGGGGAAGGCTGATGTAGTTCAAAGACAAAACAAAACAGGCCTTTTCTTGCCATTCTAGACAACTTTTCCATTGAATAGTTGGAATATTAGGGGGGATGGGAGAATGATTATGGCTTCAATTCCTATTAGCCATGTATGGTTTTTGTAGCTAGCATCAGTCAGAAACAGTGAAGAATTCTTCAGGCAAGAAAATAGGATGTGGCTCCTTTTACACGTGCATCGCTGTGTTTTTATGGGCATGCACAGTACAGTTCAGGGTTGGCTTTACAAAACTAGCAGCTAGGGTCTGGTATTGACTATAAAATGAGAAGCCTTAATTGGCCATAAAGGTATGTAAACGGAAGAATGCGGGTAGGATGATCTTAAAGGAATGTTAATGCTCCTTCTGATATGGGATTGTTTGTTCCAGCTTTTTCAGAAATGACAGTACATGTGTCTTTTTCTGCACAAAAGTTCTTTTTAGGATAATTTGATTCAAATGTTCTGGAAAGCTGCTGCAGTAGGACTTTTCCATTAGCCACCATTACTGCATATAATACTTCCTTCATAGAGACTGATTGTTTCCCCCCACTGTTGATTACAGTGATTTACCAGCATGGAGAGCCCAGAAATGAATCATAAATACATTTCAGCTTTCTGCTTTTCTCAGCCTTCATGATCTCATTTGATAAAGTTGAATTATAGCAATGGATTTTGCATTCTGTTTTGATTTTTAATTCCTTTGCTTGGTTCTAATACAGTGCTGTTGTCAAGCAGCATCTTAAAACTCTTGGTCATTTTATGTATGTCTTATTCAAAAAGCTACTTAAGGCTATTCCAGTGATTGCTTGCAGAAGAAGCCCTCACTCCAATGGAGAGTTAGTTCTCTTGGCTACCTAGATAATTTACAGTGGAAAATGATTCAGATATAAGCTTCTGAAGTCAAAAGCTAGCCCTTTGGCCTTCAAGCCCTGCTGGGTTCCTATAATATGTACAGGTTTTCATGGATGTGCTGAAAGCAATGTATTTTCCTGTATGCAAAGAGTTCAGTCCATCTCTTAATCTTGTGGCATGACATAAAGGCTTAAAAAACTGAGTTTATGTGCTTGCGACAAACAATATGGTGACAACATTGTCACAGATTGTACAATCAGTTATAGAAAGTGTATACCAAGCATGCACATGGCTGAAGTGGGATCCATTTAGAGCAGGTGTTTAATGGATACAGCCCTTAGTACCTAGAGTGCAGTTCTGTACCTTTATGCTCAGAAATAAGCTCCATTGAATTCACTGAGACTTGTGTACACTTTTCTGGGAATACAATTGTCTTCTTGGCTGCCTCTCAGTGGGCAAAATATGTCAATTTATATGTAAAAATGTAAGGAATAACAAATCTAAAAGAAGATCTTAGTAGCCAGAGTGAGAAAGCAAGATTATTTTGTCCTGGGGACCTCTGCAGTATTTCAAATAAAATAGATCTAGAAAGGGGATTGGGTACAGCATTTGCAGCTCCACGAAATTTCCCATTTAAATATTTAAAAACATGAAAGTCCCAGGTTCAGTCTCTAACATTTCTTGTTTAAAGGTGATGGTGGTTGGCAGGATAGGAGAAGAGGTTAACCTGATAAAGCAGCCAGCCAATCAGAATACTGGGCTATGTGTACCAGAAGCCCAAGTCAGGATAGGCAGGTTTACATATCTTTGTAAGGAAAAGGTGCTTTTAAGTCACTCTGTGCCCAAATGCCTCCAGGTGCTTGGAAGCTTCAGTTTCCTCTTTCCTGCCACTAGGGTTGATTTTTGATATTCAGATCTTCAACATTTCTGCCCACACTGACAGCTATGTTACCAGCTAGATAGTACAGTTATTTATAGCAAGGGGATAGCACCTTTTTCAGTCCAAGGGCTGGCTTCCTTGGAAGCTTTCAGGGCCACATTTCAGTGGTGGATGAGGCCAAAAGCAAAATGAGATAGGCCAGAGACAAATGGGGCAGAGCCCAAATACCAAAAGAACCAGAACGTTTTAGCTTTAAGCTTATTGCCAGTAGCTTAGCCTTGAGCATTCCAACCTTTTAGAATGAGAAAAATGTACAAAAGCTAGGAAACCACCAGATGATCAGTGGTTGGGGGAAAGGGGTGAGGTCGGGATCTGATGCGTGGTCATCTGGGAATCTTAGGAGGGCCAGATTGGGATCCCAGCCCTGAGGTTCTGCACCAACGTCTTCTGGAGAGTCTTCACAGATTCATAAGCAAGTTCTGGGTCAGCTATGGGAAGAATCAGCTTCAAAATAGGCAGTTATGAGATCATTGCAGATTAAGACTAGCACTTGACATGGAACCCTGCTTTCAGATCCTGAATCTCTGCTGTTGTTTCTGTTTTATGTTCCGGCAGCTGCTTTCAAGTGCAGTCAGCAGGATGCCTGCATAAATGTGTGTTTTTAATGGAGACTTCCATTTAGACCCCTAAGGGGAACAAGGGATGCTGCCTGTGTTGACAAGAGCCATTTCTACAAAATGGATTGTTTTGCAAATACAAGTGGTTATGGTAGCAGCTGGATTGCATCAGTGTGGACTGGGTGTTGTTCCTTGCAGCTTGAGTATGTGGGGATAGCTGAAGTCTGTGAAATAGTGGCAGAGAGCTTTCTAGCACCTCTGTGGGGAGCTGCCTCTCTTTGATGTTTGAGAGCATAAAGTCATCAGAGAAACTGAGGGAGAATGGGTTTCTCGCATCATTGGATAGAGAGAGCTTACCTAACTGATGCACATTTAATACAACAAGTAATTGTTAATAGCTAACAAATCTATTTTTAAATAATGTCATTCAGTCAAAACATGAAGACTTAAAAAAGATCTAATGTTCTTCTGAGAATTTTAGACGCGTTTGTGTGTAAGTGTTGGTGCATGTGCTAAGATTTTATATTTATATTGTATTATTTTGTCATATTTATTATTACATTATTTAGTGATTATCGTATTATTTGTACTGTTTAGTGTTTGCTTGCCACTTTGTGAGAGTCTTAAATTCTGAAGAGACATGTTTATCCGTCAGTGGTATCACTTAAGGGAATGGAGCCATTGTTTGGGTCTGCCCCACAGTGGGAGGCACTGTGTAAGATTTTCCTAGTGAGGGGTGAGGTGAATAATCAGTAGCTACAGTTCACAGGAGCTCTGAAGATGGCAGTGCAGGTGGGCCAGATTGGTACTGGAGAACACCCCTTTGGGAGCACCATAACAGTCACCCACTGAAGTCTAGTACCAACCCAGAATACTTGACCTGCATAATTCATTTATAATGCACATTAAATGAGAAATAAATTAATCCTGATCTTTGTGAAAATGTTTTGAATAAATCACATTTTGCAATCTCCTTGCAATTAGCTCTTAATTTGTAGATGCAAATATTCTCTAGTATAACAGGATCTTCATATGCTGGGAGATACAGGGACAGGGGCATTGCTGCTTTTTATTTTCATTGTAAAGCAGAACTACAGTAAGGAAAGAACATTTTGTCAGTGGCTTTACAGCATTCAGGTATAAAGTAAGTCTTACTGTCCTGGATTGCACATAATGCTAACCTGTGGTTTAATTCTGGGTTCCGATGATGTGTGAACATGTGCCAATCATGTACAACCCTGAAAGAGAACCCATGGTTTGTTGTTGGGTTATGAACTCTAGGTTGCTTAAACCATGGGTTGTCATTATATGTGAACTCCAAACCATGAGTTGTACTAAAATATGGTTGGTTTGACCAGGCTACAAGGAAGTGGACAAGAATAGTCAAAAGAATCAGGAAAGGTCATACTGCAAATGCATTTTTGATATGGAGGAGTGGACAAAGGAGGGAGAAGCAAAGAACACAGGGACTGAGAAAGCAAA